TCTTCCATGTCTTGTTTAAAGATTCCTTCAGCTTTTACTTATAGAAATTTTATTATGATATGCTTACATGTGGATTTACTCAGATTGGGGGATACAATGAACCTTAAATCTGTGCCTCAATGTTGGATATTTCTGGAAAATTTACTCTTACTTTACTTCTTTCTTCTCTCTTTGCAATTAACTGCCATCATCAGACTTTTTCACAGTAGCCTCATCCTTTTATACTTCTTTTTTATTTTCCATACTTTCACATACTTGTGTTTCAAATGAGATGTTTTTCTTTTGGCTTATACTTGATCTTACCAGTTTTTCTTTTTGTCTATGACTAATTTGTTGTTAAGCTCGTCCATTGGTTCTTAATTTCAATAACCTTTCTCAATTCCAGAATTTCCACTTAATATTTTCAAATAATTTCTTATACTCTGTTGAAATCCAATATTTTATATTTTTTCCAAGAGTATTTGTTCTTTCTCAAACATAATTCTTTTAATATGACTATTCAATCATATGAATTACTTGTGGTCTGTTCCTATTTTTTGTGTTTCCAGTGTTTTTTATTATATGACAGATACGGGTTATGAAAAAATGTTAATATAATTTAGAGTATGGCATAGATTTACTTTAGGAAAATTTAGCACTGCACACAGTTAAATTCACTAGAAACTGAGATAATTGAAACTGAAGTTCAGGGCTAATGAGTGCTGGTTTTTAAAAAGATGATCCTTTGGAATACAATACATGATTTTTGCTATTAACTTGCATTTTTGTAGCTCCATGTGTCTACCAAAGCTCTACTTCCTAGTTTTGAAGTTGCTTAGCTATACTTCCTAAACTTCTAGATAATTATAAGTGGAAAATATTGCCAAATGCCTTGCTTACCTCTTGGACTCATAATTTTTTTGAGCTTTGTTGGCTGACTTGTCAAATACATAAGACTTCAAAAATATTTTGGCTAGTTTTTCTAGTTGTTCTCAGTGACAGTGCTGGGCTAATTATCACTCACCATCATGGGATGTGGGTGTCATTATGGGAGATGGCCCTTGTAATAAACTGGACTCATTTTAAAATTTGGTATAAGGTAGAAGTCTAAATTTTTAAAATTACACTTATATCCCAACTGATTTTAAATGCTGCTTCACTAAATACTTGTATATACCATGTACTAAAATTCCACATACACATTAGTTTAATTTTAAATTTCATATTTATTTATTTATTTATTTATTTATTTTTGGTACCAGGGATTGAACTCGGGTCCTTGTGCTTGTAAATTTCATATTTAAAAATGAATAGCAATAATAAGCTGAATATTGACATAGACATTTAATAAATTTGTGGCCTCTTTCTTTCTTCATCTAAAAGTTCAACAGTATGATGATCTTCAAATCTTCCTCTCTCTCACTCTTACACTTGTGCCTTGTCATTTTTTTTTAAATAGAGAAGCTTACCATTATACTGAACTCACTTGAGTAATCCAGAATAATTTCCCCAACTAAAATGCCTTTACTTAATCAGATCTATAAAGTTCCTTTTGCCATGTAAGTTAACATATTCACAGGGTCCAAGAATTAGCTTGCAGTCATGATCAAATACATAGCCAAATATATAGGATTGTGTTAACTATTCTGTGTTTGTTGTGTTTTGGGTTATTTGGCTATTTTTTTTTTGAAGTATTAGTATACTGGATTTTATTACTATAAGAAAATACCTGAGACAGGCTAACTTTATGAAGAATAAGAGGTTTATTTAGTTCACTGTTCTGGAGACAGAAGGACAAGGTGCTGGTGATAGCGTGGTTATAGTGAGGACTGTGTGGGGGACAGCACACCACGGTGTCAGTGGCAGCAATGTGTGGGGAAGGAAGGAAGAGAACACATCTTGAAGTAGGAAGAAGCCAAAGATGGATTGGGGTTCCATAATCCTTTCCAAGGGCATGCTTCAAATGACCTAAAAAGCTAATCCTTTCTAAAATCTTAGTGACCTAAGGGGGAATCTTTTCTGTGATCATGCCCCTAATAACCTCCAGTAGGCCCCAGCTCTTAAAGACTGAATGAGTTCCAGCATCACCACACTGGGTGGGGATTGTTTCCATCTCACAGAAGCATGAGGGATGCACTTAAAGTATATCCAAACCATAGCTTGATTCCAAGATACCTACACTGCAACTGAATGCATTTTTAATCTATAGGCTCCACTTTACATACTTTACTATCTTGCAATTTCTTTCTTGAAAATTTCACATGTTCTGTTCTATAGTCTCCCACAGTCTGGTTTGCTAATTTCATTGTGTTGCATTTCTGTGATAATCTTAATTAACATGCTCTTCCATCTTCCATGTTTTAGGTAAATGAGTACTCAATGTTAGAGGAACAGCCAGAAGACAGACCACTCAAATGTCTAGCAAGAATAATTCAGAGATGGTGGTATGGCTTGTGCCTATATTACCCGCCACCCAAAGCTTCATGCAGTCACAGAGGGAGTTTTTCAGAGATTTAGAGTGTGTGGCACTGGGATCAAGAGGTGTATGATTACTAAATCACTCCATTTATTGGTTTGGTGAAGTTCTGGCTAGGATTAAGGGTATGAGTGCTACACCTGCCTTAGAATGAGTAGCCTACATAATATATAAAAGACAACAAGAGGGCTAATGCACTCTCGCCTGCTTCCTTGCTATGGACTGTTTCTCCCTCTTCCATGCCACCCTGCCTTGGAGCCAGCCAACTATGGACTGAAACCTATAAAAATGGTGAGCCAAATAAACCTTTCTTGCTTTAACTTTGGGTGTTGGATATTTTGTCTCAGCAATAAGAAAAGTAATTGAGACATTTTATTTTACTAGGTTGCAAATACTGCTTGGTTGCTCTCTTTTTGTGATGTTAGCAGACACTTATCACAATTGCCTAGGTCTGTTATTTCATTAATAACAGATAAAAAATAGATATTCTATTTTATTATTCTGTTTTCATTTATGGTCTCTCTCTCTATTTTTTTCTGGGGATCGAACTCAGGATCTTTCACTTGTGATGCAGTCAGCAGAACTACTGAGCTAAATCCCCGGTCTTCTGTTTTTGTTTATGAACAGGACACTTACAGGAACAGAGGGAACTTATGTTTTCTCCTAATTGCCTATCTACAGTTAAGAAAGAAACTAAATTTCTTCAGTGTTTTCTAAATCGAATGCTTGCCTGAGAGAAGCATTCATGTGGCTATTATGTGGCCCATATTTGGTCCCCGAGAACTGAGATCAGCAAGAAGACTCCACAGGATACTAAAATATAATATACACTTTTGTTAATCCTTTACAATTCTATGTCATCTAATACTGGAAGACCCAAGATCCTCTCCTGAAGGATATTTTCTTGGCTGTGGTCAGCTGGGGGAAAATACAAAGACAACTGAAAATACAGAGCCAATCTCTGTCTACTTCAATTTATCTTTCCCTAAGCACAAATGTCACCTAAATATATCCTCACAACATAGAAGAAAGGCATTCATAAATTAACAAAGAGAAAGGGAGCTATGAATTTTGTCTTCATGACTCTAAATATCTGGTTATGCTTCTGTTCCAGCCACTGTCATTCTCCAAAATTTTACTGAGTAGACGAGGTAAGGTTGTATTCCAAATGAATAATCACTACAACACTGTCACACTATGGGATATAATTGTGAAATGGAAACATTGTCAGTGAAACTTTGTGAAGTGACACCTAATTTAAACCAGATGAGCAGAAGACTGCAAAGAAGAACTTTTAAGGAAAATCTAAAGCAAAAAGGACTTCCTGTTTTCCTGCCTCTTACTTTTAAGAGACCAGCATTCAATAGGTACTCAGTGGAGGATAAAAGCAATAGAGGTGTTTTTGAAGTAAGCAATTTCTAAATTTCAGAATAACAACTTTGAGGACAGAACAGTTGTGACTTTGCATCCAGTGCTTAATGTGAGAAAAGTTACAAAGGTTATATGAATATCCTTCTATTCACTGTTTAATTCTGATAATCATCGCTACTATACCTGATACTGTTTTCCCCCCCGCTCCTGTGGATCAAACTCAGGACCTTTTGCTTGTGAGGCAGTCATGGTGCAACTGAGCTAAATCTTCAGCCCTGTACCTGATACTTCTTGAAGGCAATGAAGCCTTTTAAAGTGATTGAGAACCTAAAGGATCACATTTTATAGTATCTTTAGTTTTCTTAAAATGTTTTCCTACTCAGTATTGATTTCTAGTAATTGCAAATATTTAATTATATGCAATGATATCTAAAAGAGTCTCTAGCTAGACCACTTGTTATAGAACAACTGTTCTGTGCGCAGTTACTGAAAAACTTATATAGCATTAACTGAGGAGCTACTATTTCCAGTATGATGCTGCAAGCTGTCACACATCAAAGGAAAATAGTAAATGATTCTTGCTTTGGAAATATTACTTTTACACTTCATTGACTACATCATTGACTAAATTAGAAAACCATGCAACAGTGCATATTTATGTGCTTATTGTATTACCAAAATTCATGAAGAAGAGACCAAATGAAATAAAATCATACACTGCAACTACAGAGTTTGTTCAAAGCCTTTTTTCAATTTATACATAATTAAGGCAGGGGTGCTTCATTGAGGAAGTGGGATTTGAATTAGACCTTAGAAGATGCATAGACTGAAGGTAAATACGAAATTATAAGATTTAACCAAATTAATTTATCTTATTTTCCCCACTTTTATTTGTATGAAGATATATGCACCCTACTCAATTGAGCTTTGTCAAATAATCCATAATGTCTTCAAGCATATGTGATTAACAATGATTCTAATGCCAAAAGGCAGCTTATTTTCTTAATCCAAAGCTCACTTTATATAATTATTCTTTCTGCAAACTACTAGCTGGTTATATTAACACTTGAGTAATCTTGACAAGAAGTTGCTTTAAGCAGTTAAAAATCCAGATGCTGATCAGCATGCATTAAGTGATTCAGCTTAATTAGTTCCATCTAGATAAATTACTTACCTCAGTCCCTATCACAATTTCTTCCCTGGTAGAGTAGAATATAAACTTGTATAGCTTGTAGTGTTGAAAGAAGCTGAAATACAAAAAATGTGCAATAATGATAAACATATACCTTATATAAAGGTACTTATTAAAGGAAATGCTGACCGAGTTAAAGATATTAATTGCTAACATAAAATTAGCCATCTCCTTTATTCTAAAAGAAATTGTGCCCAAATGCTAAGAAATAAAATTTTGCTTTTTGATACACTGGCAATATACACGGTACCCAGAACAGTGCCAATAAGTTTATCTGCAATGATTAAACAGGTTTTGGGTAGACAGCAATTAGATTGCACATTTACTTTTCTTGGTTTAAAAACAAAAATAACATCAAACTTTGCATTATTTATTATGTTTTGTTCCAAATCAGAGTTAGTTTCCTCTGATAGGAATAGTACTGATTTCTACAGTCTACTTCTTTTTTTTTTTTATTTTTTTACTTTTTGGTACCAGGAATTGAACTTGGGTCCTTGCGCTTGCAAGGCAGGCTACCGAACCACTGAGCTAAATCCCCGGCCCTCTATAGTCTACTTCTATGTCAATTATTACTTCTGACATTATCAAACTGTTTCAAGATTAAATTAATCTGCAATAACACCTGAAAAATGATGTGACATGAAGTGAAATCCATTTAGACAATGTCTGATTTCCTGCAGAATATTCAGTCACACATCAAAGGGCAGAATAAATTTAAGATGGATCATTTTCTTTGTTCTGACCTGAAAGCTAGGTGGTCAGTGTATAAAAACTACAAAGAGACAAAGGACAGGAGTTCCTGAAAATAAATATTTCTAGTAAGTTTTAAAAGCTTAGCAAAGTATTATCGAGAGTTAAAATTTTACTGAAGGGCTGATTTCTAATATCCTGTTTGTGATAATAGTAGAATTTTTCTAATTCTCTTCCTGCTGGTTGGGAAAATTAATAGACTCATAATACAGCAAAATGCCCAAGAACAAAATATTGTCTTAGTGGTTTCTCTTTCACTCTGGTGCCTTTTGCTATTTAAGAAAATTGATTTTAATATAACTGAGAAATTAACATTTGCAAAATGTAGCTACAGAGCATGTATAATAATGGCTTCTCCTGAATGCTGTAATGGATCAAAGTTTCAATTCATTTGAAATCAATGAAGAAATCCTCAGGCAGCTGGGTCTCGCTGAGTAATATTAGCAGCTGATCTCACTACTAACCCAATCCATTAAAAAGTGATGGGTGTGTGGACTCAGTCATGGTTGCTGTTTGTTTTTTTTAACCTTGCACACTTGAATTACTCATCAACATTCAGAAAACTAACTCAGCTTTTGACATCATTGAATTGTTGGCTAGAAAAATACATTAAGATTAGGAAAGTTTGATAATTCTTTGAAGCAAAATAAATTCTAATTCTCCTGCGTTTACATTTGTGACCTAGAGAAAGCTATAATGTCAAAAATATTACACTGGTAACTACTCATTTTAAGTAGAAAAATTAAAGACTATATTTTGCAAATAGTTGGATTCTTCTAAGTGAGCTACATTAAAATTTCTCTTTGTCTGTCTTGTGTTATACAAAGAACTTGATTCATAAATTTCCTTTCCTGCAATTTCTTAATCTTTGAGCCTTATATCACTTGCCACACTTAGGAATTAAATCAGCCCATACCAAGAGGGAAATTAACTGCCTGCAACTAAAATAATATGCATGACCTGAAGGCAGCGGTTGAAGATGCGGGGGTGGGGAGAAGACCAGGACTAGGATAATGTGTCCAAGTGAAGAAGTCTAAAAAGGAGCCACTCTCTCAAGGCCAGGCCACGTCTCCACCCTTGCCTCACTCACTCTGTAACTTTACAGGGAGCTTTGCCTGAGAACAAAGTGACACTTCAGGGGTGGGAGTGCGTTTTGTCTCTCCTCTTAGGACTTCCACCGGACTGGAGGTCCATACTCTTCCATCAAACATCTCGTCTTGGTTCTAAGTTGATAAAAGATGGAATGAAAGTGAGTCAAGGCATCTAGTGTCGTCCAGGGAAGTGTGGCGTCCTGGTATACACAGAGGGCCGGGTTGATTTTTAAAATTTTGGATATACACCTGTACGTAGTAGCTCTGCCTGATTTCCAGGGAATAGAGAGACCACACAACAAAAAATATGTACTTGGACCTGATATATATGTAAGTGGTTTTTAAATTAAAAAGCTACAGTCGTCTTTACATTTATACATGTATGCAATATACAGCATGTACAAATCTAAGTATTTTATCTGTAAATTTCCCAGGAATTATAGTATTGTGGGGGAGAAATTTTGGTATTCGTTTTCTTTCAGATCACAGGCTTATCACAGAGCATACAATTTGAAGACTAAGAATAACAGTGAAATTTAATTTATTGTCAAGATTCATGGGCTACGGGTCATGTTCTACAAACAGTTCTTAAATCGACTAAGGCTTTGAGTGATCAGGTAAATTTAATATCTGGTTAAAATGAAACACATTTATACTTCTTATAATTGAGTCACCTTCCTATTTATAAAACTGCTTTGTAGTCATCAAACGAATGTTTTCTACAATTTAATTGCTACTAAACTTACACCTGTGGACCTATGGGATCTACTGAGCAGGTGCGGTAGAGAAGCACATTTCCCTTCACACAACTTCAGCGTCAACCCAGATATCCTACTGATATTTTATCTTTCTGTAGGAGAGATATTTAAACTGCGTAATTTCTTCAAAAAATCACTAAAAATAGTTTTAATTTACTTTGATTCATTTCCTACATATTTTAGAATTTTTCTTTCTTTATTTTTTTCTTTTTTGGTACTGGAGATTAAACTGAAACAAGGGCTTAGTACTGAACTTCATCCCTGGCCCTTTTCATTTCTTGAAACAGCTTCTCTTCTTTGCTAAATGGCTCGGGCTCCACTTGCAGTTACAGTCATCAGCCTTCCAGGGTGCTAGGATTACAGGACTTTTAGGGATGGTTAATATGGGAAGTTACTCTGGTTAGGATCTAAGTTGGTCATTTTCTGAAAAAAAAGTTTAAAAATATATTGATGAACATTTGCCTAGAGATAGGAGACAAGAGAGAAAAGAGGCTATTCTGCATTGTGTAGAAAGTGTCGTCATGGTGCCTTCTGTGGCTGTTGCTGCTATGGTTAACTACTGGTACAGCACCTATTACAAACCTCTTGGGCTTGCAGTTCAGCTGTAAAAATATGTTTTGTAGGAGAAACCAGGCATGTTCAGAATAAAGGGAGAAGGGAAAGAAGGAGAATAATACAAATGTGCAGGGTAGAATTCTCTTGCCCAGTGATTCTCAAGCCCTGAGGGGCACAAGGACCTTAAGGCACAAGTTTTCATCTAATTATGAATTTTCAGCCCTTTCTCCGCCCCCATACACAATGGCTTTACCTTACTCTAACTGATCAAAATCACTGTGCTTTAGTGAGAATCACTCATTAGGAGGAATGTATCTATATTAGGAAATCACATAACATGAAATTCTGTTATATAAAAATATATTTTATCATATGCTATTATTTATTCATGCCAAAAATCAGCAGATACACTTTGTCATATTGAACAGACTAATATTTAGAAAGCTCCCAAACTTAAAGCCACAGTCCTTGCCAAACAAATCATGAGCATGCATAGGATATGGCTTGGAATTCTTTATTTTAGAATGTTAAATTTTAACTTTGGAAAAATATTGGACTACATAGCATAAGACGAACAAGGACACTGTACAGAAACTTTAGTTTGGCAAAAGAAAGATTTTTTGCTATTCTCATTTGAATGTTTGAAAATTCTAAAAATGTCCCTTTGAAGCAATGCATGACTCTCAAGTAGACTTTGTCAAAAACTATATAAGACAAACTACTTCATCAATGAAGAATCACTGTAGTAAAATCACTTTCCCTCCATCCACTATTTTCTAAGTAGAGAGAGCCTTAATGAGTTTGTTTGGGCAATGGTACAAAATATTTTGAGGTACATAATAAATTTCAGAAAATACATAGATTTCAATTTTCAGTACAAAGCATTTAAAATAAACATTAAAGTGGAAATAAATGTTGCTTTGTGAAATATAAAATTAGGTATTTTGGAAGGTCAGCTACCTAAACATAGATCCTATTGTAATTAAATCTGTTTAATCATAAAAAATAATTTTATTAATAAAATGGTATTACAGATTCAGAGAAAAAAGAAATTTTTATGTAATGCATTATAACTGTAGAGGAAACTATATATATCAAGCATAAGCCCTTAACAGGAATGCAACATTAGCCAAGACATTCTATGACCTGACTGTTATTTATTAGATGGAAGATTTGAAGATTACACTTATTGACTGATTCAACTGCCATACAAATGCTATAAACATCTGATTCTGCTCAAAGCTGAATTTAAATTTAAAAGAAACTTTGTAAAAGACATGAAATAAGAAGTAAATGCTACTGAAAAAACGCATACCTCATTTTTAGGTAATCAATGATAGCATTGGCTTGTTTTACATCAAAGGTGTTCCATTCATCAATTCTTTGAGAATGGGTTGGTCCGATTTCAGCCATCACTTCCCCGAGCCACTTTATGTTGTCCTCTAAGGACATATTCAATGCTAGAAAGAAGACAAATCTCAAGTGTTGTTGGAAAGTGGCCGAAAAGGCATAATCTTGTCCCCAGCTCCACCCTTCTCTCTCTGCCTCTCAGCTGACATGTGGTGAGTAGCCTTCCTATGTCAAGCTTTTCCACCATTGCTGTTTCTGCTATGGAGAGAGCCAACCATAAACTGAAACCACCAAACCATATTAAACCTGCTGAAATTATGTGTGTCTGTGACGGGAAAGCTAACAAATACAAAGAGACTGCAATAGAAGCAGAAACTTCTGCTTAAAAACATTAATTTATATGGTAGGATAAATTTGCTTCTTTTAAAAAAAAGAGAAAAATAATGTACTTACTTTTAAGATTATGAAGTAACATATCTAGTAAAGTCATAAATTTTGAACACTGAATAATAGAAAAGTCCATTCCTTTAGCCCACAAAAATCCAGACACATAATAATCTAATAGAATGGCATCCTTTAAACAAGTTTGAAGATTTTTGAAATGTAAAAGCATTCTCAGCTTTCTATAATGAAAAGAAAAATGCAGACATTACATCAGATTAAATACTGAACAGTTCCTTTAGTTTTGAAAATAAAGTTTTATTCAATGAAAACCCCCTAATGTTCATAACATATTATGTTAAATTGTATTAGAGTCTATAAGCTTAAAATGAAGTTCAAAAAAGAAACAGAGACAGAGAGAGCTCTGTTTTGTCTTCTTTCTTACTTGTTATGCTCTAATTCTCCTCTTCCAATTCTTTAATATGTCTCTAATATCCAGTAATATCTCTGAAATTCAATATCTCTTTCCATTTGTACAATTAAATTTCTTTTATTTCTGAAAATGTTCTTACGCTGGATTGTTAAGTGTTCTGTTCTATTTTCTTTTTTAAAGGAATTCAGTTATTCATGTTTTATTAACTTTATCTCAAGCTATAATTTTTCACTTTAGCATTTAAATGTTTTTCAGTATATTTCCTTTTTATTTTGTGTACTCATTATTGTCTTCTCTGTTCTTTAGTTTGTTTTTAGCAATTATTTATTCTTTGGACTGCTATAAATTTTACCTCAAATTCTGTAAGTCTTTCCTTTTTAAATGCTTTATGACCTTGTATTTTTTTCTTATCTTTTCCTTGAGTTGTTATATTTCTGTTTTATGCCCTTATCATTACTTCAACGTTTAAAATTCAAGATAAAATATTTTATCACATTTTTTTGTCCGCTCATGGTTATGTCTTTCTGGTGCATTTCCTTTATCTGCTATTTCTTTTTCCTATTCCTTTCTTTTTATTTTTTATTGCAATGCTTTAGCTTCTTATTCTTTCTTTATTACTTATCTTTGAATGAAATGAGATTTTGTTTTTGGACAGGTACTTTCAGGACATACACTGAAGGTGGAAACTTGGCTGTTTACAAACCAGTCAGCATTTCCTGTTTAAAGTATCCTTCTGTCAATTTCTCTTAACATTTTTTTTTTTTTTTTTT